CTTAGGTCGTTCGCCCTTGGGTGGCGATGTCCCCAGCACCAGCTCTCGAAGCGTCTGGGAGACCTTATTGGCTCCGAAGGAAATGATAATCTCGCGCTGTTCCCGAGCCAGGGTGGTAATGATGGCCATGGCACACTCATCGCCCAGGTTGTTCAAGGAAAGATCCAAATTCTTGATTGATGACGAAAGGAATTTGCAAATAGACGAGTGCAACTGAGCCAAGAGAGCTTGATCCCCGTCGGCAAGGTCATTGTCACAAAGACCCAAATGCTCCAAACCAGAGTGCGTCGTCAGAATGCCAAACAACTCTGTTGTCACCCGTGGGCCCAGCGCGCACGAGCCTAGAGCAAGCTTTGTGAGGCTGGCTGGCAGTGACCGAGCCAAGCGGCAAATGCCCTGAGGTGCGCCAGCGGCTTCTTTTGGACGTTCGACAGGCTCGTCAGGCCGCCAGTCTGGTTTGCTGACTCGTGCACAGCCAAGCTGTACGTTGTTGTAGAGGTACAGCTCTTCCAAGTGAGAAAACATGGTCATGCTTGGAGCCAGCAGGGATGCACCTTCATTGTCCAAATCAATATTGGCAAGGTTCAACCATTGGAGATGCTGAGCGGATTCTCTTCGGCGTTCATCTCTCCTTTCATTTTGATCGTCTCGAGCTTCTTTTCCAGCAAATGTGAGGCGATTCAAGGCCTTTGGCAAAACACCGCCAATCCCCAGCCCCCGATTGTCTCTCAAATCGAGTTTGGTCAGTATACATTGGGAATGTGGCCCAAGCAAGTTCGCCAAAGCTGCAGCTGCTTCCAAGCCCAAACCGTTCCAAGCAAGGTTTAGCTCAGACAATTGAGTGCGTGTGACTTGCAGCGCCGCCACCACTGCTGCACCACCAATGCTACCCAAATGGTTGTGACGTAGATTCAAGCTCACTAGCTGGCTTCCACAAACACCATCCTTGGGTCGAGTTACAGTTGATCGCTTTGCCAAAGATTGTCTTGGCAAGACCGAGTCCAAGAGTCCATCAAGATCCATCTGCATTCCAGCGCTCAGCTCCTCTGCAATCGTTGTCCCAGCCAGGATCTCCAAGCCATTGTCTTGCAAGTTGAGCCTTAGAAGACAAGAATTGGAGCGAGTCGCTGCTGCCAATGCACCGGCTCCCGCAGCTCCTACCACATTTCGACCCAAATTCAGCTCTTCAAGGCAAGAGTTGCTGATCAGGGCAGTCCCAAGAGCAACTGCACCAGCGGCTGCGATGTTGTTGTGCTGAAGCCCTAAATATTCTAAAGAGTTGTTCTCTCTCAGCATCTCGGCCAAAAAACTGCATCCGGCGCAGGCCACCTCATTGCTCTGAAGCTCCAAATGTCGCAAAGCGCAGCCCGGGTTGATCATGGCCTGTGCCAAAACCTGCACTCCAGCGGCGGTAATTCTATTCTGTGCAAGCTCAAGCCTCAAGAGATGGCAGCCGTGTGTCAAAGCCTCACCAATAAAATCCATGCCGCGGTCTTCAAAATGCAAGTTGCTGGCCTTAAGCTCTTCAAGTGCCCAGTTCTCCCGAAGTGCGGATCCAATCATTTTGGCTGACAATCTGACAGGCATCTCGTCATCTGGTTGCAAGTGAATGCACCGCACAAAATGAAAAAGAAGAACAGCTGCATTATCTTCCACAAGCTTGCTCAAGGGCACAGGGCAAGCTTCCGCTGGCAGTGGGGCATCGCGGAACAACAATCTGGGCAAGGCTCGCCTCTCACAGCTTGCGTTGCAACCACTGGGGCCCTCAAAGCACTCGGCAAAGGCAAGCAGCAACTGATCAGGTATGTTGGCTTCAAGCCTTCCAATGTTCACTGAGCTGATGCGAAGCCCATCTTGAGATTGCAGCACCACCATAACCCTTCGCACATGAGAAGCGGACAGCGTCCATGGCGTCAGGTCCCACAGAACGCTCCTCTCTTCCATTGATTCGACTTCACTGGACCCTCCAGCTCGCCGGCGCTTTGCTGGAGGGGCTGCCTTTTGCTGGATATGGCTTCGCAGGAACTCGGGAGGCACGTGGCTGCATGCGGTTTTTTCGTTCAGGGCTGCACGAAAATCCTCTGCTGTGCGAATGGCTGTGCTTCCAGCCTGCAAGTTGCTAGATTCAAGCACACGCTGCAGAACCTCTTGAATCTCTGGAGACAGTTGTCCTGCAAAGAGTTGGGATTTCTGAACTGTAGAAGCCCAGTGAGTAAGTGCTATCAACATGCTATTGTGGTCAGAAACATCTGGTCTTCCTTGATCTAGCCACAGTTGCGTAGCTATCAGCAATTTCACAAAGGCAGGTGGCACCTCTGGAAGGCTGTGGCTCTGAAACACTTGCTGCGCGACCAGAGCAGCTGCATATACATCTGAAATGCTGCTTAAAGACCTCGTTGCAAGACTTTCCACTGTTGCGGCCAACTGATCTTTTGCTCTAAGCCTTTCATCACGGTCCTCTTCACCTCCAGGCCCTGCCGGGCTGCACACGAACGCGACCTCCCGTGCAACACCACATATTTCCAGCAGCGGGTACAATGGACCACCATCATAGAGGCCTGCAACACTCACGCACGAGACCACTCGGCCATTCACATAAACCACAAGCTCTTCGGACCTCTTTGCCAACAGCCCTAGAGTATCCTCCCGCAGCAGCTCGACAAAGGACCAGCCCAAAGGCCCCGTTGGCCATTCGATGTCGGTGTCTCCACTTCCAGCAGCTGCAAGCTTCGCATCCCGGTGCCGCCGAAACTCATGAACTGCGAAGTGTGGTGAGTTCAACACGGGAGCTGCTTCAGCACCATCATGGAAAAATCTGCCGTCATATCCCAAGACCCAGCTCAGTGGCCAGTCCTTCGCCTTGGAAGTCAAGGCTGAAAACCCACTTTGTGGAGGAATTCGAGTGAACCCGATGGCTGGGCCAACGGCCAAGTCTGACCCCGGTGGCAACATCGGGCTTGGCCAAACCTTCCGGAGCTGCACTTCAAAGTAGGTCCCTTCAGGCAACTGCATGGCGACTGCTGCGCCTTGAATCGCCGAGGAGGCTGCCGTGATTTTACTCACACCAATGATGTCTTGTGTGGGACCTCGCTCCAGCCAAAGGTTGCCAGAAGGTACATTGCACAAGCGCATCGTAGGCTGTTCCGCAGCTGTCCGTGATGCTACTGCAAATCCACACCACCGTGAAGGAGACATGTACCAGCACGAGCCGGCACCAGACAACTGTGCAAAGGGGGCCAAAGGCATCCATGCTTGAAGCCCGTCTGTTGCTTTAGGTGGTGCCACAGGCATCTCTGCCGCCAAAACATTGTCAAATTGCAACTGTGGGTTCGCTTCTGAGCTACCACCCGCACCTGGCCGAAAGAATTGCCGCGCATCTGCAGGCAAGACCCCCAGGTTTGCAAGCCGTGCCAATCCAAAGTCCAGAATCTTCACCACCACCCCTGCAGGTTGAGCGACCTCCCAAATAACTGAAGGCTTTAAATCCAAGTGTGTGACTCCCCGTGCATGACATGCTTCAAGCCCATGAAGCATGGCATCACAAATATCAGCAGCCGCGTGTGCTGGAAGGGGCTCTTCATGGCCTGCGCAAAGGCCCGGAAGAGAGATCACATTCCTATGCTTCCTGACTGAAAATACATTCCACTCTTTCCACCTATCTAGGTATATAGACAAATGGCTAGCTGCTAGCAGCAGTGCGACAAGCAATTCCTGCTCTGGATGGCTCGCAGCAGCGCCAAAAAACACAACACTGGCACCCCTATGCTGGCAGCAATTTGCAAACTCTAACATAGTTGTTGACCAGGACCAGCATGTTAAGTTTCACAAGTTACTGTAAGTTGGGTGCGCCTGTTCGGATTCGCTGCAGGTGTTGAGACAAAAGCCTGCCATGCAAACGTTCCATCACGCAGTAGGCCAGGCCACTGGTCAAACCCGGGAAGTGTATGACATCTTGGACCTCCGCCACTTCGGAGAGCACGGTGTAGACACAACATTCTCGTAAGAAATTGGTTCGTGTTCTGGCCCCTTCTGTGATGGGCATCTTTAGGGTCACTTCTCGCATGTTGAAAGCATCTCCACAAGCCAGCACAATCGAGTCAAACTCCACTGCCAGCACCTCTTTCACAATGAAACGTCCTGCAATGGAGATACCCTTCACCGATGAAGCAAACGTATCAGCATTGCGTTTTTTGGAAAAGTGGCGCAGAGCATCGAGCATTGCACCTTCAGCGGTATCTTGCCTGCCGGTCACTTTGTTCTCTCCGCCTGAAAAACGGACGGCCACCCTTGATTCATTTTGAGCTTCCGAGCTGCCCTGCTTCTTCTGACTTTCTTCAATGGCCTTGAACGCTTGAATTCCTTCCCAGCGTTCTTCCTGCTGGCTGAGTGCAAGCTGCAAATGGATCTTTTCCTGCTTGGCAATGTCAAGCTCCTTTTGCAAATTCTCAATCTCAGCCATAGAAGCCGCTTTGGCTTCCCGATAGCCAGCATGCCAAGCTTCAGGTATCTTATCTGAGTCTGATGTCTCAACTTTCTCCTGTTGTATATGGGCGGCAGACGAGGAGTTCTTTTTGGCTGTCAGGCGAGCTAGGGCTGCCTCCAAATCCCTGACTTGATCAATCAAGCCTCTCCTCATGTGCATATCATCTCTCACTTCCTGTTTCTGCCTATATTGAAGTTCGGATTCCAGCACCAACAAGCGATTGACGGCCTTTTGAAACTCCCAGAGTAGCTCCTCATGCAAAGCCACCGGAACGTGTTGATTCCGACCATGCTGCCTGCGAGCCTGGAAGGTCTGGCGGAAATACTGCAAGCGGTCATCCATGTCATTCATGAACTTGTCGCTGTCCATCAGCCCTCCTTTCTTGGCACTGCTGCTCGATTTGGGTGCATCAAGGTCACGGTCTGGATTCTCTGTGATTGATTGCACAAATCGCTCCAAGACGGACATGAAAACAGATTTGGGGACGCGGCCGCTTCGATGGACATCAATGACGGCAAAGATCTTCTCAAAGTCAAAGGCATGGCTGAAACCAAGGGACTGAAGTGCGGTGCAAAATTCCTCGTACAACAAACAAGGGTTCAAATGATCGAATGCATTCTCCAAACCTCCACAGAGCTGTGAGAGTTGCACCGCCAAACGAGACGTGTCTTCCAGCGGCAATCTGGAGCGGTTGGAGCCCATTTGAACAGGTCCTAGGGTTGGCCTGCAAATGGTCTCGACCAAGTGGCCCAAAGTGAGATTACCAGAACCCGTGGGGCAGCTGGCGCATAAGAATCCAAAGACACGGCCAATATGACTGTCACACAAGTTGGGCTGGAATTGTCGAAGAAAGGTGCGCAACTCCTCACGGCTCACCGTGCCACCTTGGCCCAGTGACTTCAAAATGCTCTTCAAATCTTTGTTGTGCTTCTGGATGGCTGAGGAAACAGTTTTGAAGAGTTTGTGGACCCAATCTTCACTGACAAAGGCAGAAGAAGCACAGAGCTCCATGGCATCATGCAGGTCCTGCAAATTCACATCACCCACCGCCGTGATAAAGCGAGCCGTCGCCTCGTAGATCTCAGCTCGGCTCAGGCTTGGCGCCAGGGGGCTGATCGCATCCACCAGCTTGTGGCGAGAATAGCTGCGATTTAAATACCGGTCATTGAGCCGGAGCACATTCACCAGGCCACCACTCTTGGCCACGGCCTTTCGCATCCGGACCATCACATGCTCAAAATACTCTTCACCCATCTTTCCATCCACATCAACACCGAAGAGCCTCAAAAACTCTAGCAGGTTCAACATGCCCGAACCGTCCGTATCCGCAAAGTAGAAGAGCCTTGTAAGCCTTTCTTCTGGCATTGATGGAATGAACTGGCGTATGAGATTTCGAAAGGCTGCCTCATCGATGCGACCCTGTGCATCTGCATACTTGCGAAAGATTTCATACATCGTCCTGCCAGATGATCTAGCTTGCCCAGACAAAATGCTGAAAACATAGCCCGCCCACTTTGCATCCAAGTCCTGGACTGTCTCAACGTTCAGTCCAGCCTTTTCCAAGCGTGCCAGAGGTATACAACAAGACTGGCGACAGGACAAAAGGCTTGTTGCATTGTTAGAAGTAGGGTCTTTGCTGGGTGCTGGGTTTTGTCTTTCTAGCTTCCGAATCCTTTCGTAGAGTTTCGACATTTCAGCACCTCTGTTGTCGAAACGCGTTTTCAAATCTTTGTAAGCCTGCATCAGCTCTTTCAGTTCACGAAATGCTCGCAGTTCAAGTTTCTCATCATCTGCTAGCCTTTCCTCTGTGTCCTCCTTGGTCTCCGGTTCATGCTCGGTTCGTTCAACACAAATTCCAGAGGCCACTGCAGATCCTGGTCTTGCTCGGTCTCTCGTGGCAGGCAAGTGGCGCCTCTTTCCATAGATCCGAGCACTTCCCAAAGTTCCGATTTTGGGTCCCTTGGGTCTTGTAACTCGGCTCGGCGCTTCAAGCCAGGGTTCTGCTCTTGCAGCTTCGCTGGCCTCTGCTCCACCAACCAAAGATGTCAAGTCGCGGTTTCTCAGAGAGTACATCCTGTGCCATCAAACCGCCCGGTCTGAGTTGAAAGAAACTGAAACCGCATGTGTTCTGGTCTGATTTTTGCTCTTCTGGTCTTTTGTGTGTGTGTGTGTTTTGTGTTTTTGCGCGGGTGTGTCTTTGCGGCCATGTTCATGCGTTTCGTGCTCCGTCCCTCTCCCTTTCGGATCTTGGCATAGAGGAGAATGTCCTTATGTCCTTTGTTCTTTGAGCTGTTGAGCCTATCTTGAGGAAGGCTAAACGATGTTTACAGTGCATTCATCAGGGTGCAAACAACACAACGGAACATCGGCAAAGCATTCTCAGATTGATGACTTGACCTGATCAAACTCATGCTAAGTCTAGTCAGGATTGGGCAAGCCTCGTCTTTGGAGGCGTGAGTGGTAGGCAGTGCTCCCTCCTAACAAAATCACTTCAGCCTTCTTGCAAGCTTTGCAAGATCAGAACATCATCAGAACATCAGATCACAACACATCAACTCAGCTTTAGTCCCAGGCAGGGCTGACAGCATGCAGGTGATGCCTCAGTAACTGCAAGGAATTTCGATGCCTCCCATGCCCAAAGGTGAAGCATCCCCGGCTCTTGTGCAAGAAACACCATCAAAGAAGCCTAAAACAAGACTGTTTCAAAACAGTGCATGATTTCACGCTAGAACAAGGTTTGAACTTGCATGACAACAGGTGAGCGGTCACTGCGATTTCAACAGACGAGTGCACCATGCACAAGTTTGCCACACTGTTTACCACGTGCATTGTTGCAGTGAAGGGGCAACCTAGGTTCCTTCGAATAAGCAGTCGAGAGATCAATCCGCGCGGTTGCGTTGACTTGACAGAGGGCTGACCGACCCACCAAACATCACCAGAAATCGCGACACATCGCTACGCAAAGCTTCACGAACTTCTGGCAGGCTGGAATTGTGTCAACAAAATGAAGAATTATATATATAATACATCTTAGCATCTTAGTACTGGTAGCATTAAACTCACCATTTAAGGGCTAGCGCCTATGCTAGGGTCACACTGCTGTGGCTGGATGAAGTCGTAGCTTGCCAAGAGGTGGGCAGCTGCAGCTTGTGCTCCACAGGTTGCTGGGTTGTGTGGAGGTCAAACCGGTCAACACTGCCATCGGGGCAAACACTGCTATATAACGGTCAACATTCCACACTAGCTCGGACTGCGCTTTCGCGGCAAGCATTGCACTTCGGAACTAAATACAAACCTAAGCAAGCAGTGGCATTGGAGGAGTAACAGCAGAAAAGGCCAAGGAAGGAAGATAGATAAAATGAAATACTAAGTTGCAAGAAAAATGCAAAGCAAGGACAAAACAGCAGAGCAAAAGGGAAAAGGACATGTCAAGAAAAAATGTAAAGAGGCAAAAACAAATACTCCGGGGAAAAACAACATAGACCAGAACTCAATTTCAAGTGCGCCTTAACAGGCAATTTCTGGACCCTCACTAACATGGACGGTTCCCACTCTCAGTCTATGATCGATGCGGACACTAACATGGACCAACTGCAATCTGACTATAAACTGTACGCAGGCTAACATAGACCACGCCGGTAGGGATCAACATGGCCCGGTGGAGGCTAACATGGACCATGTCACATACGTCTAGGGGCCTCCTGAACATGGTCTACGTTAGTCTCAACCGAGGTACTGCAGGTGCAAAACTACACAGCTCTTTCAGCACGGTGGAGGCCAACATAGACCATGCCAAACACCAATAGGGCCTATCTGAACTTGGTCCAGGTTAGAACGCAAAAGAAGGGTCCATTGCTAGCAGGTTGGGGGCCATTGCAAGTTGGTTAGAGGCCATCGCAAGTAGGCCTTAGTGGGGAGACAGATGTCATCACAAATCTCATGGGGAGAGACAGGTGCCAAACTAGACAGCTCTTTTATCATCTATAGCCCGGTGGAGGCTAACATGGACCATGCCACATACCTCTAGGGCCTACCTGGTGCATCATTGGTTTTTTCAACGTATTCTTTTTTGAAATTTTTCATTTTTCACAGATTGCTTCAAACCGACTCCAAACATCAATGGAAGACAGGAAATGAAGGAATTACAGCAGAAAAATAACTAAGAATCAAAAACTAACTAGCTACTTTTTACACGTTTTCTCCTCTCCCCTTGTCTGTGTGTCTATTCCCTTAACGGGGAGACACAGGGAACTCCTCCAGGTCGTGCGTTGGTCCTTCCGAGTTCCCTGTGTCTCCCCGTTTCCTCTCGAGACGTCACGGGTGTCGGACTCACCTTTCGCCGTCGGACCTGAGACACAGGGAGACGGAGACACCGCACTGAGAAAGCGGTCCTGACCCAACCGGGTAGTGTCGGGTCGGGATGCGAACCGTTGACGTCTCTGAGTTTTCCGTCTCCCTGTGTCCCCCCGTTAAGGGAATAGACACACACAAGGGGAGAGGAGAACAAGTGTAGAAAGTATCTAGTTAGTTTTTGATTCTTAATTATGTTCCTGCTCTAGTTCCTTCATTTCCTGTCTTCTATTGATGTTTGAAGACATTTCTTAAAATTTTGGATTTTCCACAAGCCGGAGTCAGGCTTGTGGCTAACATGGACCAGTCCTACTCTCGCAGACTCTCGCTACTCTCAGTCCACGGTCCAACCTGACACTAAGTTTTCCAGATATCGAGTGAGGCATGTGGCTAACATAGGCCACTTCCACTCTCAGTCCCTGGTCCACACTGACACAAACTTTCCACAAACCTGAGTCAGGCGTGTGGCTAACATGGACCGTTCCCACTCTCAGTCTATATGATCGATTTTGACACTAACATGGACCAACTGCAAATCTCACTATAAACTGAACGCAGGCGCTACATAGACCGCGCCTTAGAGGTCAACATAGCCCGGTGGAGGCTAACATGGACCATGCCAAGTAACCGTAGGGCCCACCATGGCACATCTGAATTTGGTCTAGGTTAGTCTCAACGGTGTCCGCTCGGAAACTAGACTAACATGTGCCAAAAAAAGAATATGTTTGTTGCGAAAATGTTAGTTTTCACCGGTGTAGAGAACCTGAGTCTCCTTAAGAAGGTGTCTCTCTCTCTATGTATGTATATACACATGTACAATGTACATGAAATGAGAAGAACTCACCACTTGGCAAAATTCCAGGGTGGATCCTCAACATCTCGTGATGTTCCACATGTTGCTTTTTCCTGCCATGCTTTGCTACCTTCTGTCTTTACATGTCCCGAATCCGCCGCTTGGTTGTACAAAATTGTAGGTCCTTTTGCTCGCCTGATCCTAATCTAGCCAGAACTGACTCAGCAAGTTGTATATAATTCTGCGTAAGTGAACTCCCTGCACGTGGGCATGTGTGTGTGTGCGCAGGTTTGCATGACTCTGAACTCTGCTAAACCTGAACGGTACGTATGAGCCTAGCCGAGCAGGATGTCAACTCTACGCCAATCAACATGTGTTGCGTCTCCTCTTGGCTTGCGCAGAGAGCAAAGCACTGACGCATTCGCACATGACATTCACACGAAGCACGCACTGAGGCTGGTGCGTCTGCCCGTCACAGGCTCCAACATACACTCGATCGTCCGGATTCCAAGCTTCAGAGTCCCAATATGCGCTGCTACCAGACCTCTTGACGTTCATTCTGCTACGTGTCCCTCAGCCACAGCAGCTCAAAATGTTACAGTCGGGTCTAACACTGGAATCAGAAAACTTGGAGTGCAAGACTTAGCATGCATTGGGAACAGCGGCACAAGCAAACGTGACACTCCGGTGTATCCCTTTTCGCCATTGGTATGTCCACGACATCCCAAGCCAATGTGAGACAGTTCTAGGCATCATTGTCATTTGGCATTATGGTGCTGGCGTTTACCAGTCAGGCCACGCTTCCTCAAAGCTGGATAAAGCCCGCGCGCGACGTCAAGCTGTTTGTGTTGACTTGATCTATTTTAACAAACAAGTACGGGATCCAGGAATGTCCATGCCTAGCTAATGCTTGTTCATTTCTTCACTGCTAATGCTTGCCGGCGTGTGGGCGCATTTTTTCCGCTCAGAAGAGACACCCTTCAGTATGGCTGGGGGCGCCTCAATGGCACAGCGGCAGAAAATCCTGCTAACTGCACTACATTTGTGGAAGCAATGAGCCTCACTTCTCCGTTCGGACTCAGACCCGGTGCCTCTTAAGTATCTGAGGTTCGCCATTTAAGTAATATTAAACACATGCCCCTCAACAAATTACAGTAAGTTGCAGGGCCTTAACAATAAGTTCTCAAACCTGAGGGTCAGACTCTGAGGTGCTGTTATCTTCCTTTATGGGGCCACCGCTTGTGCCTCCTTCCTCGCAAAGCACACACGCATGACATTTGTTCTTTCCAAAGAACATATATACCACCAAAGCCAAACTCAACTGGAACTAACATGGAAGTGGAAGATGGACCCTTGGAAGACAATTGTCCTCTACAAGCAGGGGGGTTTTCCACTTCCAAATTAGTTCCAGGGAGAGTATTGGGAGAGTACTCCAAAAACATTCAACATTTGTTTTGTCCTCTGCATTCGGCAGGCTCGGAGCGGATGAGCTAGTCGGGCCGCAATTGCCGCCATCACCACCAGCTGGACATCCGCCGCAGCCACAGCCGCAACCGCAGCATCCTGGACAGCAGCCGCAGCCACACCCGCAGCCTTTGCCGCCGGGACACCCGCATCCCATCATCATGGGATTCATCATGCCGCAGCAGCCACAGCCCCCGCACCCACAACCAGGGCAGCCAGCACAGCCTGGACAGCCTGGACAGCCGCCACCGCAGCCGCTGCCACATCCGCCGCCACACCCTCCACAACCACCACACATGCCGGGCATGCCGCCCATCATTTGCATCATTCCCATCATCTGCATCATTGCCTCAAGTTAAAATTGCAATGCTTGCCAAAGTTCAACTCAACTGTCAAGTGCCGGAAGGCTTAACTTAGGCCCACACCCCCATGGCTGCCATCGGATTAGCCTTGCTCAGCACCAGCACAAACCGCCAAGTTTCAAGCATGACGGCATGCACATCCGCAG